AAATTTGTTTTTAAGGCTAGAAATTTTGCAATTTTTCTGCGGCGAAGTTCTGTCAAAAAAACTAGCATTACTTGAGCTGGTTATGAAAAAAAGTAATTGAAAATTTGAGGGTGATATTTTACAATAGCTGGTAATTTTGAGTGGATTGCATGTTTTCAATTTGAAAACTTTAATGCATAATAAAGTTTTCATTTTCAACCAATTGCGCTAATAAGAAAATTTTTGAAAATACATTGCTCTGGCAGATGCAATGTCATTCAAAAATGAGGCTTTTGAAATAAATACTGTTTGAAATATAACAAAGAGCGATCCAGGTATTAAATGTGAGTCTGCCACCTATTATAATATATCACAACTTTTGTTTAAACGACCATATTCCGCTCAAATTTTTGGTAACCTTAAACCAACAAAATTTAAAAACGGCTGGAGTGATAGTTATTTATTGCTAATATGAAGTCAAACCCCATTAAGAAAAATATACTCCAGCTGAATTCAAAAAAGAATCTTTTCCAGTCCCCCCTTTGACTTTCCCTGAAATTTTCATTTGATAAAAGTCTATTTTAATTGACTTTTCATGTTATAAACTGCATCAAAACGTGACAGCGTGAACAGATGAACAAATATTTACAACACTTCTTTCATGCAAAGTGCCGTGTGAACAGTTTTTGAACACTTTTATTTTGTTATTTTACAAGGGGGTGGGAAACTGGAAAAAAGCCTAGAAAATCATAATAACAACAAAAAAGTCAAAGACTGTTGCAGTAAAAATTGAATATAAAATCCAAGATTTTGACATAAAAAAGGGATAAAAATTAGATGAAAAACTGCTAACTTGATTGTTTTTAATTCCTAAAAAGAAATATAAACAGCAGCAATTTTGAATTAGGGGTTATCAATTTAAGTTGACTGTCACAAATTGCGAACATTTGCATAAATTAAAAATTGAAAAAAAATGAAATAAAAATTGCGGCTCTTTTCTAGTTTCCCCCGTTTCAAAATTCCGAGTTTTATGTTTGTTTTCCGTGTTATTACGGCTAAATGCGTGATGTTACGCTGTAAAGTATGAAGAACAAATCTGTTCAGAGTTGTCGATTTGTTCACCACGACAAATTTCATTGCATTATGACAACGTTAAATAAGCTTTTTAAAATTAAATTTGAAAGGGGGGACTGTAAAAGAGCCAAAATTGCTGTAAAATTAGATTGGATGTCATAAAACTCAATTTGGTTGCAACAATTTTTTTAAAAATGCATGTGTGCTTTTGATCCGAATTACAACCAATTGGGCCCTTATATCAAGCTGAATTGGCCCCAACGGGTTTTCATTGGTGAAGTCAAAATGGGCGGAAAAAACGACTCTAAGCAAATACAAATGCTGGAGTATGTAACACTAAAATTCACCCAAACGTTTCTTAGGAATTTTTAATTCCTGCAATGACACTCAAAATAACTGCATGAATGTACGCAGAAGACAATTCATAATGCTTCAAAACTTGGCAGTTTGTCGTGAAGAATTTTAACTACCTAGGATTCAATTCAAACTGAATCGATATAACACACATCTCGCCAAAACCTCCAAAAAGCAGATTGTCTGTGAATTTTGAAAAACTGTCTGATCTATGCGTTAATTTAATTGAATCAAGTGTAACGTTTTCTTATTAGAACTAAAACCAAAATTTGAAGTTAAATTGCGGCCACCAAAAAATGTTGTTTCAATTTTTCATAGGAGAATGTTTCAACGACAAATATCTGAACAAAACAGCTGAAAAAATGATAAAAAATATTCAACTTCTTCCATGATTTTCAATTTTTTATGTTTTTCCATGTTTTTTTTTCTCGGCGACTACGAGTGTTAAATTTTATGACGATGGGCCAGAATGAGGCAATTATATTAACATGACAGGAAAAGAAGGCAATGGAGTTGTTTATGAGTTTCATTTCTCTCATTATTTTCATAGTGTATATTAGGATGAAAAGCGGAAACGCTCAGACCACTTTCTCTTTGAAACTGAAAAGAAATTTTTCGAAACCTAAATTGCGAACAATAGGGCTTGGCGTTATTATGATTATTATGATACTACAATTGAGGCCCTTCGAGTTTTCCTTGACGTAATTAAAAGCTGGCAGCAAAATCAGATAGCACAAATAATCATCGGACTGGGTTGAGTGACAAATCAAATTAAAGATCACACAGTCGTGATTCGAAACCCCTTAAAAATTTCAAAAAAAATGCCCAGTGTCGAGAAAACCCGGTTTGAATTTTTTGATTTTTCGTCTTTTTTCGAGCGAAAAAAGCAAGCGAGCAGTCTTATTATGGCTTAAAAGTTTATAATAGCTTAATTTAAAACGTAAAAGTTTAATTTTACATGGGCAACGTTTTTTTACTTTGAGTACTTTAACGCCTTTTTGGAATCATAAGTTTCAAAAGTTTAAAAAATGCAAAAAAAAAATGAAATTTTTTTATACTTTTTTTTTCGTTTTTCTTGTAATTTTTTTTCAAAAATTGTTTTTCATTTGCTTATTTCAAAATGGCTGTCAAATATACCTAATCCCTAGTTTTTTTACCCCAGTTTTTTTGTACCTAATATACATTATCCACCACGCCGAGAAAAAACGACAATAATTTGAAAAAACTGTTGTATTTTTTTAAGACTATGGTCGGAACATTCTGTGCTGCGTGACAGTAACCGGCTGTCCATGTTTTCCTTTCGTTTTTTTTTGTTTTTTGTTCCGACAATTGAAATTGGGGAAGAATTTTTGTCTTTGGGTGAGTTTTAATTATTTTTCCACGCAAAATCAGACAACACAAATAAAAATAAAAACAAAATGGATTGAGTGATATAATATATCGTTTTAAAGCCTTTTTAGTCGTGATTTGAACGCAATTTGGAGAAATTAAATAAGTTTTCCATGAATCGAGAAAAATGTGTTTGAAGTTTTTGGGTTATAGTCTAATTTCGAGAGATTAAGGTAGTTTTTTAAGTTTTTTAAATTTTTGTAGTTTTTAAGTTTTTTAAATTTTTGTCCATTTTTTGTTATTTCGAAGACAAAATTTATCGACTAAGTCTAATCCACTGAACTATACGTTTGTATAGTTGTCTCAAAATTTTATAACCAAAAACGACATAAATTTGAAAATAATTTTGTCCTAGTTTTTCTGTGAATGTGGTTGGAACTTTCTGCGCTACTCGGACTGCAATCGTCTATTCTTGGTAAGATTTATAAATTAATTGTTTTTGATAATAGCTTCATAAGGTTATGGTGTTAAAAAAGTTTTTTTCACTGAGTAACGATTTCACTGAACATCCAAATAATCAGGAAAAACTAGTATCTGGACGAGTAGCATATAATTATGTGATCGCATCAGAAATGCTTAAAAATTTCACAACCAAAAACGACATAGAAGCATTTTTCTAAATTTTTGACTTAAAATTTTAGATTTTTTCATACAAAATGGGAAAGAATTAACTTCAAAAGAAAGCGAACATTGATATAAAAAATAAAATTAGTTTGAGAAAACAAACAGCCACACTCTATTTTTGTCAGTCATCTAATCAAATTAGCACTATTTTAGATTGCAAATTTATTGTTTCAGGCTTATTTTTATCGAAGCTCAGACAGATACATTATTGAAATCCAAATTGCGTCTAAAAAGACTTGCCAATGTTTTTTTAAACTTCGTACGACTTGTTTTTTGTAGGTATGTGATTTTGCATGGTTGGAAACAACGGGTGATTATCCGCATGACGGCATACTCGGTTAACTGACAAAATTAGTTCCCGGTTAAACAAGAATTAGGCTTTATTTTGATAGGATAAATACCAAACACTGGCTGACGCGGACTATACCACTGGTGTCAAAACTAAGCGCAGCGGAAAGAAGATATTTTAGATAAGCCCAGCTTTAGATATTTTTTCGTGACGAATCACCGAAATACCCCATGCCATAGTTTCCAAAAGATTTCAGAGGCGAGCAAAAAATAAAACTTGAGATTTCTTTAAGAAAAATTATTGCAGCTGATTGCAGTAGCTGATTTAGGAGAGGTAGAGAATAATATTTTTACGTCCATTTAAACCAGTAGCGGATATAGGGGGGGGGGGGGGGGGCCTTCCCCTCAGGGATTCGACCTGCCGACCCAAAGGGTTCCCCCTTGTACTATTTTGAGCTCTCCATTTTTGGCTGACTAACCCTAAAATTTTCTAAAGGCGCCTATGCCACGAATATATTCTAATTTTGAGGTGAGAGCGCGCGTCGAAAAACGCGGTTTTTTGGTCAAAATTTTCTAAATCAGTATCTAAAAACGCTATTTTCTAAAAATTGCTTGCGGCGCAGAAAACTTGGTCAAAGTTTATGTTTATAGTAATTTAAAAATCAATTTGGTTGAACTAAAATATTAAATTAGGTCCGCGTTAATTTATACTAAGTTTACGGGGGAAAACATTTTTGTTAAAACTTTCCGGCAAATGCCAGTTTTTCTAATTTTGGCAAAAATGTTCTTTATTGTAATTTTTAACACACCTCGGAAAATAAATTTGGCTAAGCTAAAATAAGTTCTATGATATTTTGGAAAAAAAATGAAACCCCCCCCCCTCCCCCCCCCCCCCCCCCCCACCTCTTCGAGAAAAGCCTCCAAAGTCTGCCTGTGGGGGTGTGTACGTTTCAATGAAGTGTTTTTTCAACGCCAAAAAGCGAATCAATTGTCAAATGTACTAGTAATGATGAGATGTAAGCGACAATTAATTGCTTTGTAACTTTCATATTAACTTAAATAGGACCGAAAAAAGTTTTGAAAATTATTAGGATTCAAGAGAGCTCAAAAACTCCAAAAGGATCATGTAAATTTTCTGACACAGTTTTACCGTGGCCGTCAATAAATGCTCACTTATGTCATTTCATCGCTTTGGGCTAGCTAGGACTAATAACTTTTAAAGTTTATCTTAAGCCCAAGCGCAACATAATACATGTCGTTAAAAAATACTTAAGACTAAAAATAAACTTTACCAATGACGCGGTTTGTCCGATCTCCATTTTGGGCAGTTTCGTCGTAGATTGTTTAGCAGTTACAAATACAGCGAAGATAGTTTAGAGTAGATGGTCTCGTTTAATTAATGACGCAGTGATGAGCTTTAATTGGTCGATGAAAAAATGACAAAATTGATGATGCAAAAAGTGATATTTGATAGTGTTGATAGATATCACTCAGAAAACAGGACAGAAAGAAATTACTGAACTGAGCAAAGACTGCGCGAGGCTTTTATGGAGATTTTTCGAATAATATAATTCGTCAAAGCACAAAAATGACTTCCGGGCTTTGCTATTGGCTTAAAATGAAAACAAAAAATCTCATTTTAAGACTAAATTTTTCTGATTATCAGCAAATGCCATGATAAGGGATAAATTATTTTGCCCGGAAATGGCTTCGCTTGCGTTTTTATTCGATTTGTATAAGCCTTGGGGCCAAAGTTTTCCGTTTTTTGAACTGTTAATTGCTCTCGCATAACCAATTTCAATGAACAGTTTGTTCCCACCCCTGAGTAGCCTTGAGCAAACTTCGTTCCAAATTTGATTCGATTGACCAACCCCGTTTCTTTATTCAAAAAGGGAATATTAAAGTGAGAGAGGAGGATAATTAACCACAATTAACCAGATTCAGGTGTTTTTTTTTCTCACAAAATCAGGTCTCCAAAAACATCCGATGACGTTAAGTAGTCCATTGAAAACGGGGAACTACTGCTAATTTGAAATCCATCATCATTTTAAATAAAGTAAAGTGAAAAGCTTTTATTCATAGTATTCAATTATCAACAAAACGGGAATTTTTAATTTAAAATTTTGTGTTCAAGCTCCATTGGGTCTGATTGCATCATCAAACAACTCACGTTCTCCAAAATCACTTAGTGATGATATTTGATCAAAAAGCGGATGTATATTATATAAATAGTCAAGAAACTGAGAAAAGAAATCCGAACTTTCCAGCTTTTGATAGCATTTTCGATTTGTTTTTTTTGGATTTTTATCACCTCTCCATAAAATGCAAAACATGTTCAGCTCTTCTTATTTATCGGGCATAACTCCAAACTCCAACTACAAGCGGCAAAACTTTTAAACGCAACCTGTGTTATTGTTTGTTGCATCAATTTGTATGCTTGTTTGTAAATAATTGATGCTTTCAGACAACGAAAATGGATAGAAATTGATTATTAGGGTTCATTATTTTCCCGAACTTAGAATTACTTAAGGCCCGTCGAAAATCCATTAGAAACATTTTTTCTAAAATTTATTTTTGTTTCTAGCCAAGGAAAATTTAGCATAAAAACTACGTGCGTAAACAGAAATTTTGCAAAAAGGTTCTGGTCGTACGGCATTCTATAATTCTAAACCTATTCAGCTGGAAAAAAACTTTTGCGAACCGGCAATAACGTTTGCTCACGCTATCCACGTTAACCTACGGGGTAAACATTAGAAAATGGGAACAAATATGCTATAGAGGTAAATATAGGAGGGGAGGCAAAAATTTCCCTACCCCAAAATTAAATTGCGACAAAAATTCAATAAAAAATCGTTTTTGCATTTTGGATAAGCTTTGAGCATTTCAGATAAAGTACAATTAGGATAAACATGGGTAAGAGAACAAGTGCGGTTAATTTTTGTTCCCAAGTAGTTTGAACAGAGTAATAAAGTAATAAAAACTAGCCAACAATATACAATTAATTACGAGGCCAAACTGTGCACTGAATATCCGCACAGTTTGGTGTGTCTAAACCTCTGGAATCCAGAGAAAAAATTCAAACAAGCTAAAAGATTGTCAGAACGATCAAAGAAAACGAAAGAACAAAAGAAAACAAAGAGAACGCCCTTGTTGCGGAATCCGCTTACAATTAACAAAACACACAGTTTTGCCTTGTTTTGTTGCTCAAAAATAAAACTGGGAAACTGATTGAAGCAGCAAGTAACCAACCGTTTTAGGTGCGTTGAATTTTGGCTGCGTATATTTGGCTGTCAACATTTTGTTTCTTATGTTGTTTGAACTAAGAACAATTCTCGCCTAATGGTTTTTGAAACAATTATCACTTGGGACTGTTTTTTGGAATATTTTGTATCGGACTGTTTTATGTTGATTTCTAAATTTTCCATGCTACTTTGTTTTGAACATTTTTGTATGGGACTGCTTTGTACAGACACAGATTTTGACCAGTATCTGAGCAAAGGGATACAAGATTTGAATAAAAACCATTAGATTTTAGTTATTTTTTGTCAAATTTTTTGCAAAAACTATTATCGTGTGATTATGACTTTTTTATACAAGTTTTATTGAATACTGACCACAAAACAATCATCTAATGTACACGGAAGTCATTTGCAGTGTTGTACAAATTTCTATAATCTCTTAAATTTTGATTAAATTTTTATTTCAATTTTTTGATGTTTATCCGGAGAACTTGATTCATAGCAAAGAGATCGAAGTGTACAAATCATTTTATGATAAAAAAAAACAAATTTGACATTTTGTATGCTGTCATTTAACCGAGAAACATAATGCCTAAAGGTATTTTTTCTTCACGCTTAGTTTTTTTGAGACACCTTTTTTGGTCATCCGAAAAGCAAATGGATGAACTACTCATATTGATGCTTAAAATAAACCGATAGAAACCAACTTTGGCAAAAGTAGAATACGGCAAATAAACCATCGTTTTCTGCAATAAAATATTCTGAATGCGGCAAAATTTTCTACACAATCCTCTTTTGATATAAAAAAAGTGCGTATACAACGCTTTGTCATAATGACTACTTGAACCATGTTGTGTTCAAAAATTTTCAAGATACTGAAATTTTTATTTGCATCTGTGATTCTTTTGTTGCCTCATTCGAGACAATGTAGAATAAAAATGGGCCGAACTCAACAAAACTATGGACAGCAATGGCTTTGGTTGAGTAAAATAGTTTAAAAGAGTCATAATAAGTTATGCTGGTTTAGTTTAATATAATTCAGTTTTAGTATAATCAAAAGTATTACAGTATTAGTTGCATCCAAATCAGTGTTTTTTTTTTGCTCTCATATTTCGAAGAGAATATGACCATTTAGTGTTTTAAGATGCATAGAAAATTTTATCACCAAAACACATTGTCCAATTTTCTTTAAGCCTTCAAAACGTTTATTCCCATCGAACTCAAATTTTTAGTTCCGCCAACATACATAAAATAGAAGCTGTACTTTTGTGTCAATTGGAATGTATGACGAAAAGTCGCTATTTCAAAAAAAAACGAAATCAAATTTACTTCATTCTCTAGTTAAATCTGAAATATTTTCGTCTCTTGTTTTCAAGTCCTACAGTTGTTTTTATTTTACTTCAACCAATTCGTTTTGCTTTACAGTCACAAAATTGAAAAAACAAGGGCATTTTTTTCCAAATACTTCATTATTTTATTCTTACTGGGGGAGAAAATTTTGTTTATTGTTAACTATCACCCCCTCTCTATGCTACCTTGTAACGAATCTCCCCCGTACACCGAAAGAATTGAACAGTTAAGCATATGCAAGTTTCGTACCTTGTTGTTCCGACTTTCGATACGAAAGTAACGGAATATTTGTGCTCGGGGTGGGTTTTTTTTTCTTCAGACAAATTTCTACTTTTTAACTAGCCACTTTTGACGGAATTTATTTCTATCATTCGAAAGGTATTGTTGTCATGAGCTCAAATTTGAAAAGATATTTCACCTGTGATTAATTTTCGTAAAGTTATCGGGGTTTAAAGATTGCCATTTTGGCCAATTTGGGACAATTAACGCGCGATAAATTTCGCGCTATTAACGCGTAAGCGGAGATTTAATCCGTCTTAGAAATCGTTCCAAATTGGTTGAAAGAAGCTTATTTGCCATAGTTGATTTGTTACAAGGAGCGAAATCTATATTTTTGTACTTTATATGGCGTGTGGGGTGATGATTTTCATAAAAAATTTCAAATTTTAGAAAAAAAAATGTCCATTTTGTTGTATTACATTTAATTTTTCAATGTTATTACTGCTCCATAAACCTTAAAAGGCTGTCGGAACATTCAGGGTTTTGCCCTGATACGAGCAGTCTTGTTGACTATTTCCTTCCTATTGCAATAGGGGGGAGTTATTTAACAAGATTCGAAATTTTTTATAGAGAAGAGAGGTTTTGTATATTTTGATGAAAAAGCTTAAAAACCTCTGAAAATCATTTTGCAATCTCAGAGATAGTAAAACTAGAATCACCGTTGATTTCAAATGCCTTTTTCTAAGCTTTAGAAGAACTTGCAGTAGAAAAATTTTTAAACTTGTTTTTAGAAGTGAAAGAAAATAATTTTTGAAGCAAGTTAACATCCTCCCCTTAAGTTGTTGTACTTTTAACTCGGCAGAGTTTCTGATACCGTCTGAAAAAAATGATGTCAGAGCTCAAAAACAAAACGCGAATTCTCGTGTAATAATTTATCGACTTAAATCAAACTGCGGTAATTAACGTTCATTATATTTCATTCTAACAAAATGTCAGCGAAAAACTTTATTCCTCAAAACTGAACACAGACAGCAATTTGCTCCTTTTGTCTACCAAACATAGAATGGTACTCTACATAGCAAAATGAGGAAAAAATTGGAAAAAAATTTTTTTTGTCATTTTTTGAACAATTATTACCATGTGTTCGACAACAGAGAGCAGTCTGAACATTCAGAGCTTTGCTCTGCTATACAACCAGTCTTGTTTTTTATATCTAAATAACTTCAACCACTGATGAAATTTTTTAAAACATAATTTAGTTTTAACTTTAACCTAATACAAATTCTCAGATTTTTTTCTTACACTAGTTTGAGCAAAACCTATGGCTTGTTATATGATGTTCTGTAACAAAAAGAGTAACAGAAATTGTGCCAAAATGACAAAAATTGTAATTAATTGTGAGGACCACGTTTTAATTGCACAAAAGTGTCGTTTTAATTAACTTTTTTTATCTACCAAAACGAGCATACATTTTTATCCAATACACACACACACATATATATATATATATATATATATATATATATATATATATATATATTTGGAATTTTAGTTGATATATTTTTCTAAATTTGTTCGTAAATTTTTAATGTTTTATAGTTTTTTATTCTCAAACATTTCAGTATGAAGTATTTCTGATTTATCAAACTTTTTTGGTTATTTTGTTCTGCTTGGCAATATTGTTTCTGTTTGAGCTAAAAGCTTCAAAATTTTCCCAATTAAAAATGAATCAAAATATATTGAATTGATGCTAGTAAAAGGTTCGTGTAAACTTTGACAAAAGATTTTGTCACGGTTT